GAAGACTCCCCTCCTCTGCTCACTGCTGCTCCTCCAGCAGCCGCCGCTGCAATCTCGCTGCCTGGGCACCCTGCACGAGTCGTCGTCGTCGTCGTCTCCGTCTTCTTCTTACTTTTTTTTTCGGGAGCATCCAGCGAGGGGAAGAGGGAAGCAGAAGAGAGGCGGACAGACAGCCCCAGCCCGGGGGGAAGAAGCGGTGGCTGGAAGGAGAGGGAGGGGGCACAATAAAACAAGCGCAAAGAAGGAAGGAAGGAGGAGGAGGAGGAGGAGGAGGAGAAGCGCCTCGCAGCCTGCAGCAGCCGGGACCATGCCTTCCCCCGCCGGGCTGTGCTGAGCGGGGCGCCCGCTCCCTCCTCCGCTCCGCTCCCTCCCGCCTGGCACCCGGGCTGCTCCGAGCACACCCCCCGCCTTTCATTTTCTTTTTTCATTTTTTCCCCTTCTTCTCCTTTTTTATTTTTTATTATTATTCTCATCATCATCATCATCCCCCCTTGCACACACACACTGCACGCCCCCCCTCCGCCCGCCCCAGGTCGCTAACTTGTGGCTGTTGTGATGCGTATTCCCGTAGATCCCAGCACCAGCCGGAGGTTCAGCCCCCCCTCCAGCAGCCTGCAGCCCGGCAAGATGAGCGAGGTGAGCCCGGCCGCGGTGCAGCAGCAGCAGCAGCAGCAGCAGCAGCAGGAGGCGGCGGCCGCGGTGCCCCGGCTGCGCCCGCACGACAACCGCACCATGGTGGAGATCATCGCGGACCACCCCGCCGAGCTGGTGCGCACCGACAGCCCCAACTTCCTGTGCTCCGTGCTGCCCTCGCACTGGCGCTGCAACAAGACCCTCCCGGTGGCATTCAAGGTAAAGCCCGCGGGTCCCGTCTCCCCCCCCCGGCTGGACAGGGCACCTGCCCGCAGCTCTCCCCGCCCTCTGCCCCGCAGCCCCCCAAACCGCGCTCCGACGGGCTGCGGGCACCGCCCCGGGTTGGCAGCCAGGGAGTCCCCCCACCTTGCAAAGCAGGGGACACCCCTCTTCTTCCAGGACTGGCGGGGAAAGCGGGAAAGGAGGCGGGGGGGGTCTGGTCTGGATGGACCCCCCCCTCCAGGGTGCACAGCCCTCAGGTGTGCTGCCCAGCACCTCTGGGAGTGCGGGCGGCAGAGGGGACCCGTCACCCTTGGTGGCTGGGGCTCCTTGGACCTGTCAGCTAGGGAAGGTCCCTCTCTCAGGGTGCTCACACCCTGCTGGAAGTGTGGACCAACCCCTGAGAAATGCTGGTGGCAAAGCTTGGGTGCAGACACCATAGTTAAACCTCACCAAAGGGCAAGAGATGTCTTTTGCGTGCTTTGCAGCAGCGCTTTCTTTATGCCCGTGCTAGCTAAACACTTGATTCAGTGTGAGATGCCATGTGATTACCAGCTATCCTGCCCAAAAGGACTGGGATTGTCTTGAGGCAGCAGTTATGCTGAAGTGGCCTTAGTCAGCCCATCGCAGCTGTCCAGCGTGTCTGCATTTCCATGCATCTGTATTTTACATGCGTAATATCTGTGCACGTATGCTCTCACATGAATAGCCAGTGTACCTGACCTTGATTTGCCACGCAATGATGTTGTAAGTTCCTGTTTTGCGTTTGGTCAAAAAGATCTTGAGCAAATAAAAAAATATACATGGATTTGTTGTCACTGAGGTGAAATTCTGTTTCGTTACAGTAGTTTCCAACTAAAAGAGTACAGGTCTAGATATCATATAAAAAAAACTTTTCACTGGAACTTAACAGAGAACAAAAGCAATTATCTTTAAAAAAGAAAGACCATCTGGGCTGTCCAGTAACTCAAGAGTAAAACGGTGCGCATGGAGCACGCATTATGAAAAGTGGAACTGAAGTTTTATTGGCAATAAATAATATGTTGATGATAATATTTTGAATGGTGTGCTAAGTATATCATAATTCTCTTACAGGGATCTCTGGTTAAAAAGTGCTTTGGACATACCACTGTTTTAATTTAAAAAACAGATATAAATCACATGTAGGAAAGGAAGTATGTTGTAAACTGTGCTGGTTTTGATTATAATTTTAAAAAATCATGTTGGCTAAGTATTGCACTTGAATTTAAGCATTAATATTTATGTGAGCTGATGAGGGAGTTCTTGTTGAATGTTCTCAGTAGTAAGATTAAATTTGTGCATATCATTTTTTAGAGTGAAGAATGTTAACAACACACTTATTAACATAGCTTTATAACTGCTTAATCATGTGCAGGTAGGTAAGATATATAGGAAACGGAGCCTGTGGGCCCGGGTCCAAACTATGTTCACCTTATTCATAGTCAGAGTTTTATGGTAGACAGCAGTGCTACTTCTTTGAGTACTACACCCAGCATTTGGCCCCCTATTGACATGTCTTTCTGGAGCTCCTTACATAGGGTTCTTGCACCAGGCTTGCATTTGCTTTGTTGGCCCTGCCTGATACTGATAATAGCACGAAGTCTTAGTCAATGTATGATGGCAGCAAAGAATCAATGTACAGTATTAACGCTATACCCAGTAGCACCAAGTAGTTAAGGGGCTGTCAACATTTCCACTCCAAGCCCCAGTTTTCAGAGTTTATAACTCAGCTGTTTTAAATAGCTTCAAGCTGAAACTTGGTATATAAATTATCAGCCCAGATGTATATTTTTAAACAAAAAGTAGTGCAAATAAGCCATTCTGTTTTAAGTTACAGAGCATTAAAATATTTTTTTAATAGTATCAGATGCTCTTTTGTCAAACTCCAGGAAAAACATTTTTAATATGGCACACTTTGCTTTTCAGGGGCCCATTTGATGCAAATGATGCCTTTCAGTATTTTGCGAGAGCAAGTATTGAAATGATAGCCACATTAGTGTGTGAAAACAGCTATTTAGCTTCTTCACGAGCTCATTTTTTAAACAATAGTTTTACTATTCAAAAAGCCTTATTACCTAATATTATTGCGTAGTATTTTTGCTTTGCATGTATAACTTCAGCCTTCAGAGCAAATACCTTGGCCTTTTCAAGTCCCATTGGACTGAAACTGGGCAAACAGGTTGCCAGACCAGATGTGAATTGTTATATGAAAAATATGTAAATTGATAAGTAATTTTCAAGTTGTCAGAATATTTTTTTTGTGTGTGTTATGCCTTTATGTGCTTTTTTCCTGAGCCCTCATAGAAAAACCATGCTTAATTTTAGTCATCAGAATTTATAGGTAGTTTAATATGGATTGGTGCCTTCTGGAAAGTAAATATTTTGAAATGGTGGAGATATTTATGTTTGAAAAATAGCTAACCAGCCTACATACTAGTAGCTACTTTTCATTCTTTTTCAAATTGTGCTTAGTACTACTGTCCCATGTTTTTTTAACAATACATTTATAATCTTTCATTTTCTAGGATATTGTAAGTTGTTTTAAATTGTGATGTGTGGCACAGAAGTGGCCAAGTGGAGTTTGCATTTTTTACACACAAAGTTTCCTGGCATAAACAGTTATTTTTAATTTACAAAGTGCCTAAATGCTGTATATTTTTCTCGGTTTCAATTTTTTTGTAAAGCTCTGGGCCAGAACACCGACATGACATACGTACTATAGTCTTTGGATATTTCATTACAAAAATGTGAAACCACAGTGGCAAAAGTATTACTCTTAACTCTGTAGTAGAGCAACTGTTGGTGCAGAGTGACTGAACTTTGTTTTAATTGGACACAGCTCAGGTTTGCACCCCAGATTTCAGTCTGTCTTTTCAATTCGTCTTTCCCTAGTAAGAATAACATACAGTGATGTTACGTAATACCGTGCCAATGGATGTTGTGCATTAAGAATAGTAAAGTTGCAGGTTAGAGATGAACAATACTATGACCTGGAAGTGTCATAGTCAAATTGTGCTGTGGTTGAGAGTGATGAAATTGAATTTAAATTAACAATGAGTATTTGAAAAAGAAAAAAAATATTAAGGACCACAAGGAAACCTATAAAAAATAAAGACACTTAGTGTTCTGGGTAGATGGGCCTTCAAAGAGGATTTAGTCTCATGCAGACTCAGTTCATTGTCTCCAGGTATTGTCAGCTATGCTATATTTTATCAGAAAAAAGGATTGATTAATTTTAAGAAACAGGAGATCTGCATACCTAGACAGAAGGAGGTGGGCTGAGGATACAGTAATTTCACTGCCTCATCTGAGGCCCCTTGACACACTTGCACTTCCTCCTTTGCTCTGAGTTTCTTTGCATTTCTAGACTTAATGTTATTTTTGTTTTGTAAGATGTTCTAAACATATTTTTAACTTACAGTCAGTGGAGATTTCCCCAGATAACAAGAGTACCTAGATCTATAACAGTACATCTTTGAACAATAAGCAGGGGCAGAAATGATATCACATCTCAAGTGTCAAGGTTTAGGCCATTTTAAGTGAGTGGTAGGAGCGGATGCAACTGGGCAGCAGATGGTCCTGCATCTTCCTGTTCTGGGGTTTCTTACACCTCACTCTGCAGCATGTAGTGCTGGCTGCTGTCAGACACACAATATTGGACTCGATGGCCCAGATGGGTCTTGGCCAATATGGCAGTTCCTATGTTCTTATGATCAGTAGCATTAAAATCACTTTAAAGTGAAATCTTTGCATGAAATCCTGACCACACAGAAGGCAAAGGCAAAAGTCTTTTTGGATTTTCGGTCGTGTTACCTGATGGTGTTTGGAAAGACATAAAAACATCATTTTAATCCATTGTATATAGCGCCTCAGCTTTGCTCTGTGCTTGCTCCAAATCAAATAATCTAAGCAATAATTTTCAGTAATGAAATCCACCAATTAAAATATTTTTTCAGATTTGCTATACATTTGACATTCATTTTGTTGTTCAAGATAAATATGGTGCACAGCAAAAGGCCATATAATGCCAACCAGATTTATGTAGAGCTCTTAATTGTTTCCACTTAATAAATTGATGGTACAATTAGTTTCAGACATAACCATTCCTGGAAATCGCATTTAAAGTTGGGGTCATGACAAAGTATAATAAAATATATTTCTGGAGAAAGAGTTGATAACTCTAATGCAAAAAAGCAATAATTTACCATAAGGTGATAACAATTATATGGGCCAGGAGTAACAGTATATATTTTTTCAATGTTTAATACCCAGAATTGCAAACCTTTCAAATCTGTATTTTTTATACCTTTTTCTTCTTATCATTACTATTATGATAACATAAGCATAGGGCAGTTATTTCCTTTGGACTGTTATGGAGAATCTTTGCTTCCTATATGAAGTATCATTTACATAAATCTGACTGAATTAGTGCTCCTGTTCTAATGTTACATTTGTTTTAAAAACTTGCAGTATACTAATCCTTATGTGCATCGCAAAGCATTTTCATAACAGACTATAAATAACTCTTTTACCTCTCTGCCTGCCATACAGCAGCTGTTTAATAACCCCCAATAGCACCACACCAACTTAGGACAAGAAGTCATCATCTTCTCATGTCCTGTCTGAGATAGTTGCTGACGGGTCTTAGCAGAATTTGCAGATTCATTATAATCTGACAGGGCTGCAACGTGGGGGCGTCTGCTATGGCCATTATGGCAGCTGGAATTCACAAAAGGTGAAAATCCTATAT